TCAATCGGAAGAACTCCAAGCATGTCTTGAACCGAGTTTTGTCGGCTCAGTTCATGTTCAGATTGCATTGGCATGATAACTTCATTCGGTTTCTGTTCTCCACGCTGCCCCGGGAACAGACGGTGCTGATGCTGCTGTTGTTGCATTGGTTCTTCTTGTTGTTGGTAGTTCCATTGTTGGCTCTGCCAGGCTTGAAAAGGTTGCTGCGACGACATTTTGTAGGTTTAACTACAGTTAGTATTAGGTAAATGCGAATAATTGAGTCTGCAGGTCCCGTTACACAATATTGTTATACAAATAAATAAAACTAGTTTGCATTATGCAGTGCAGAATGTGCGGCACTTTTATACGCTAATCTTTTGGCTACAGAAATGTTGTCCTTCCAAAAATAATTCCGTAAATATTCGGCGATAAGAGACGAGTGATATAAAACAATTCTAATTCACCACACGTATGATCGTATTCTATTCATCGGTTGATCTCCAAAAGTTAAAAGCTTTTTAAACTATCAATAGATTTTCTCACATATTAACCCTTTTTGCTTGTTAATAGTAACACTTACAATTGAACGTTGGTCATAATTTAAACATGCCGTTCTCTATAATATTTGTAACACTCTGATGTAATTTATATTGCAAGTAGTCGATTGGAATATCATAGATAGCAAAGCAAAAGTAATCCCACACGTTTGTCATATTAAGCGAAAGAAGGGCTTAGAAATAGTTTACGTTGTTGCTAACCAAATAAAATGGGGTTTGATTACATTACATAGCTACGATATACGGTTAGTTGTTTCTAGAACAAGCTTTATTAAAACAGTTACTCAACGAATTTTCATTATGAAAGTGGAAGTGACTGTACAATAATTTACCTAATGTAAGTAAAAATTGCATTGTATACTAATACTAAAGAAAATTTCCCGAGTCAAAAACCACATTAAGTAATAACACTAGTGGTGGGGTTGTCTTCTTTATGTACTTAGTCTGTCGCACAAGCTCTGTGCTTTTGTCTAACTTTTCGTAAGAAGACTAACTCTTATATTGGTGACATTTTGCAGTACAAACACATTGGCCGCCCCTACATTTTATTTGACTCTTTGATGCAATCCTAACTATCTTTTTGGCCTCTTGCTGCCTCTCTCAAGGTTATTGTTCGCTGAGATATATTGTCTAACTCAGGAATTCTACTAAGCTTATACTATTTATTGCGCTGTAGGTAACATTCAAAATCCTAAAAAGTACATCCAACCGATACTTTCCGTTTGTTTGTTTGATTATCTTCAAGAAAAAACGATCGATCTGATCGTTATGCGGAATTGAAATTGTAACTAGAATTTGTTCTGAAATTCCTATTTACCTAGACAAAGTGCTCTCCTATTTTCCTTCAAGCTTTTTTCGTGTTTGTTCAACTGGTTGACTTAATCTTACTTTGTTGGATCTTTGAAGTAGAAGTTTTACATAATCAATTAAGTATGAGTTTAGATAAAGGTTACGTATAAAAATAAATAAGTACGTTTGTTATTGCCCGCTCAGTTCTTTTACCGCTTGTCAGAACAACGATTATCTATTGGCATGAATTTTCTCCAGGCTGCTTCAAGTAGCACAAGTATTATAATTACAGTATTTTCTGAGACTTAAGATACGTAAATCATAAGACCTCAGTTCTATATATACGGCAAAATTTATCGAATCATGTTCAATTTTGCATGTCCGATTTAATAATACGACTGTATGCTTAATAATACAATTTCTATTACCACATAGCGGCCGACGCAATACATTTGACACAAATACATACGATGTATAGCAAAAAATAATGTCTCTAGAATTTAATGTTACTTAGTGAATATGCAAAAGCAATTTAGGGCTTTTGAGTTTGATAATATCTACGTCCCAGAGTAAGCAATAGCAGCAGGCGTAATTATTCACGGTATGTCTGATTATATATGCTATAACTTTATCAATGGGATTTTTGAGACCTATGGGCATGCGACGAATTAAAATTAATAGAAGCAGCAAAGTTTTATGAATTAAGTGTAATCTACTGTATCAGCGAACAATGGCCTTAAGGAGGTAGCAATAGGCCAAAGCGTAGTTAGAGCATTTAATGGTCAATAAGCGTATTTGTCTTCTGACTGTAAAGTAAATTTATTCAAAGGGTTTTATTTATATGTCTTACTATTGATTGTTTTTGAGGACCTTGAACGAGATTATATACTTGCATACTAAAAAGTAAACATTATGCTTGATAGAGATTACTATTATCGTGTGTAACCTATGGTTTAGTATAAGATTTCTAAGATTGCTATTTATAATGCCATCTCTAATTAATCAACGATGCAAGTTACGTGAATCAATGCCGCACATAAGATAATTGTGACCTTTATTATAACAATTAATTAAAGTATAAACAACACATATTAATATCAGCCAAATAAAAACTAGCATTGAAGTAAATTCTACTAGTTACAGCAACCAATTCCACGTAATTACCATCTAAATCTACACAAGGAGTATTTTTTTTTTATATTTGTACTGGAACAAGTACATATGGATTAGGGTTCTATGCTATTGTCGAATCCGTATCTTCTAGCGTCTGACTATTCGTTGTTCTCATTATTTTCTTGCGTCTCAAGGCTATGTCTTGCTTATTCTTTATTTGCGTCATTTTATATGTTTCAAAAATGTCACGAGCATTCGCGATAATATAATTATCCCGCCTCTCGTCAGTAGTCGTGACCTGACTGTTACAGTGGCACCTCCATAAGTACACACACGTGAAATTTCAAAAAGTCAGCCAATCAATAAATACAATGTTGGTTTACTTATTAGTTATAAATCTCTACAGTCGACCTCCCATACAGTCACACCCTCGGGAATGACCAAAACCAGTGACTATAAGGAGGGGTGACTGTATGG